CTCTGATCCAGTATTAGGCAGCAAAGCTCCATTCAGAAACCAGTGAAACTGAGCAGAAGGTCTAGACTCCGCTGAACAGATAAGCTGGATGTTTACACCTTCTTCATGGTGTTCATTTAATGGAGAGATCTCCAACTGTGTGCTTTCTGGGCCATCTGAGAGAATAAAAGTATTTTTATTTATATGAGAAAACAGTTCTCATTAACAAGACAATGCTTTGATTCCATCCTTGCAGCCTATGTGTTAATTCAGGTTTAAAAACAAAAAAATCTATCAATTTCAGTTTATAGAAAAACAATGTTGTCATCTACTATTTTCTACCTTTGACCTTTATATCTAATTAATGTCAAACTTATATATATAAATACAATTTATCTATAAAGATCATTTTTAAAAACAGCAAGTCTAGATAAAATTATGTTGAAAAAAAAATCTAGATAAGCATTGCTTAAAACAAGACGTAAAACAAAGTTAATATAAAGAGGGTATTGACTTAAACTGGGCTCAGTGCTATTGCTATGTTTTTAAAAGAGAAACATGAAACCATGATCTCCAATTCAAAAATGAAATTCAGGAGGTTATCCAGTTTGGAAGTCACAACAGAATAGCAATATATTTTCTAAGTTTCTAATTATAGATCTTGGGTCAGCTAAAAGATAAGCAAGGAATAAAAGACAGGGGACAAGATCGATGAAATGTGCTCTGGCCTGTGTGTAAGAGAGAAACAATCAACAAACTTTTATAATAAGATCAAAAAGGGCAAGGGTTGCTTGACCAACACCGTTATAATGTCTTCTTCAACAGTCAAGTGGAGTTGAGATAAAGAAATGTGTTATTAAAGGTTGTCCCCCACCCTTGCAAACACAACATCATAGAGCACATTGTTTCCAACTCCTGGGATCTTGGCCTTATTTATTATATATCTGATTTAAAATGTTAATTTTCACTGAAGAAAAGCATTTCGATTAATTACTCACAGCTGATGAAGACATTTACAGGCTCACTTCTGTCATCACTGATGTAATTAATCACTTTACACCAGTATGATCCATGGTCATAGCGGCTCACATTTGCCATAGTCAGAGTGGATACCCCATCAGATGTGCTGATCTGAACTCTGTCACTCCTTGTAACCTCAGAGCTGCCATTCATCCAGTATATCGCCTTATGAAATCCAGCAAAAGAGCAGGAAAGGTGAACAGAACTGCTAAACTCAACCAAGTCCACACTCTCTGGGG